TCGACTGACGATTTCGACCATGAGACTTATTTGTAGAACTTGTCTTGCTGATCATTTTTGCAATTTAAAGGTTCTCTCTATCTATTATAGAATCAAGATAATAGGCAAAAATGAAAAAAAGGTGCAATTTGTCATTTAAGAGCAATAACTCATATAAGAAATCGTCTTACAGTTTTGACGTATATAGACAATTGGTAGAGCTCAACATTCTGAACATTTTTGCTCCTGTCAGATTTTCTCTATTTATAACGGTTTTCAAAATACTAGACAAAACTTGTTCTATTTTTTAGCCATGTCGGCCACCTTGGTTGGCAGACGGGGTCATCGTTTTTTAAACAAGATACCCCAATGATGACTGGTAGCCAAGTTTGGTTAAATTTGGCCCAGTAGTATAAGAGGAGAAGCTTTTTATAAAAGTTAACAGAAGACGACGGACGACGGACGACGGACAACGAGCGAGGGACTCCAAGTGATGAGAAAAGCTCACTTGACCCTTTGGGCCAGGTGAGCTAAATATGTTAAAAAACACGCTTCAATAATTTCTGGACCTAATGTTGGTACGGATGTGACACAAGGACTGTCAAACAGAAAATTCACTATTAAACGTGCGAAAAAAAATCTTGATGTTCATATAAATCCCTTTTGGAAATTATTTTATTCTTCAGCTATCTTAGAATAAATTTTAGTGCACACCGATTTTCTTATTTAACATATTCACCGGGGCCGAATTGCGAAACCAAACTCCTAACTGTGTATTGCTGCCTAATACCTACAGCGCTCGACTTTACATCTATAGCGCTAGACCTTACATCTTGGGCGCTAGACTTTACTTTTCTAGCGCTTACTTAACATCTTCAACTACTTTTTAGTATCTATAATAATAGACCAACAGGACTCGATCTTACAAAACTAATGTCAAAACAAGAAACAAGTTATAATGACAACCACTATATAGAGGGTTCACGAATTTTGACGTTCGTTTCCGATTTACAATTAATTAATTGGAAGTTTTATTTTACAGAAAATCTCAACATTGTTCCAGAATATCACAACCTATACCAGACAATCTCAACCTGACATACTTTATAATATCTTCAGGTTAATAAAATCATATTCGTAAAGAAATAGATAAAAACTGTTGTTATACATTAATACTGACGAAGAACAACACTTATATACTGATATATACGTTACGTATTGATGAACTCACCGTCATTTTACCAAAAACTCACGGAACTGGCCGTACTTAGGGAGCTACCATTTGATTTTTATGGGGGGGGCTAGGATGAAATTTGAAAAAAAAGGCAGGACAGGAGTTTGAGTAAAAAAAAAAGGCAGGAGATGAGCAACTTGGCAAAAAAAAAAAGGCAGGATGACAATTTATGTAAAAAAAAGTCAGGATAAACTAATAAAAAAAAAGGCAGGACCGAATAGAGTGAAAAATAAAAAGGCAGGACAGAGATTACAACTAAAAAAAAATACAGGACAAAATTTTTCATCCTAGCCCCCCCATAAAAATCAAATGGTAGCTCCCTAATACCTGCGGGTGAAAATGAACGAGACAAGCTCTCAATTACTTATCTATGGCATGACATTCTCCTATTTAACAAAATATTTACAGATTGACAATAAATTGATGAAAAGTCGACCTACCCTTTCTATATTTTTGATATTTTGTACCAGAATAGCTCAACAGGAAGTGCCAGTAAACATTTTTCTCGGTTATCAATTTGGTTGAGATTTGATGGTTTACCAGGCGTGTCCTATAATGTAACTATTACTGACTAGTATATTGGTTTATTTTATTTATTGTTCATTTTGATACTTGTAAAACATTGTCATTAAAGTTGTATGTTGTATTAATAATGCGATATATTGATTTAATTTCTAAATAAAAACAAAAACCGAAACAAAACGAAAAAACAACAGATTGACCTGTTTCTGTTTGCTATACTGTTTAAGAAAATGATTTGATTTGATTTGATTGATTGGTATTAAACGCCACTTTCAACACTATCGTGCTGTTTCGTGGCGGTCAGTTTTTATTGGTGGAGGAAATCGGAGTGCCCGGAGAGAACCACCGACCTTCGGTAGGAAAACTGGCTATCCTAGTTAATTAAGATTGGAGTCGAGTGCGCCTGCCAGGTGCGGGATTCGAACTCACAACCTTAGTGTTGACTGGCTAGTGATACAGTAGATCGACGACTTAGACCACTCGGCCACCGAAGCCCCTTAAGAAAATGAAGATCACAATTAAAATGAAAAAAACATCTGATAACTTTTAATTTTGTTTACTAAGAACTACCGAACTTATATCGCATTTTACAAGGTTCTCGATGTTTGTTTTTCTTTTGTATTTAAGTATAATATAAAAATAAGGAGATGAGGTATGATTGCCAATGTGACAACTATCCACCAAAGTTCAAATAACGTGGATGTAAGCTATTATAGGCAACCGTACGGCATTCAAAAATTAAAAAACCCATTTCGTATAGTCGGCTATAAAAGGCCCCGACATGAAAAATATGAAGTAATTCAATTGAGAAAACTAACGGATTAATTTATAACAAAACAATTTACGAAAAACAATATATGACAGATATGAACCAACGACAACCACTGAACATCAGGCTCCTGACTTGGGACAGGCACATAAAGAATGTGTCGGGGTTAAACATGTATGTGAGCGCTCAACCCTCCCCTAACCTGGGACAATGGTGTAACAGCACAACATAAGAACAAACAATAAAAGTCAGTTGAAAAAGGCTTAACTCATCAGATCGATACAAAGCAGAAAAAAAAACCCAAACATAAACAGACCGGACGTGGCAGGGTATTTATCCATCCCTCATCTCTAACAACAAAAAGGACACTTAGACTTGCTTCCAACATGATTTATGAAGTAACTAGATGCGGATCCAGGATTTTGAATAAGGGGAGGCCCATGGGCCCCCAAACTAGACAAAATTTGTAGTGAAACCGGTAAAAAGTCTGGATTAACCATAAATAAAGCTCCATAAGGGGGGCCCGGGCACCCCGCCCCCTAAATCCACCCCTGGTAACTATATAAGAAGAAGGTGTTAATATGCTTATCTAAAATAAAATAAAAGCTCCAAAAATGGGGGAAAAAAGTAAACTTTGTTATGACGCCTCCAGTCGATTTCCATTGTTATTAAAGACAAAAAAAAAAACAAAAAACAAAAACAAACTCAGACAACATTCAAATACTTCTCTTATAATGTATTCGAAACCGACACAATATTTCTTTTGTTACTTTTCTTTTGAGCAAAAAAATCGAACATTGCATAGGAGCACCGTGTAATATTCCTTGTGAACGCTAGTCTGTCTGTTCAGTCAAAATGTTGGATAACGCCATTTCTCTAATTCTTTGACAATTTATCCCTTTCTGCACCCATTGTATAAACAAAATTTAATCAACGTGTGGTTCATTTGATCTCAGTTCTTCATTGGTTAAAATCCGATTATGACGTCGAATTTTCTTGCTTTCTTCTGAATTTCCTATTGTGACGGCATGAAAAAAGGCGACCATGCCTGATGACGTCACATAGAAAGAGCACATCTTTTTGCAGATCATTCGAAAAGAAGGAATAAATTTGCCTGCGTATTGTTTGAAAATCATTAGAGAAACAGATTCCACCACCAAATCTCGTGTAATACGATATTTAACCACTCTCGACAGTTAAATTTTAAATATTTAAAACGCTCGGCGAGCCTCGCGTTTTAAATTTGAAAATTTAACTGTCTCGAGTGAATAAATATCGTATCACACTCGATGCAGTGGTAGAATCTATATTTAACCATAACTGAAATATTCATTTTACTTTTTTGTGAACGGATTCTTTCCCCGATTATTTTTTTCATTTTTTATGATCAACCTGTGATTCAAATGTTTTCGTACGTCATAAAGACATGCACAATTTTTTTAACATTATTTAGAATGAACGTCCATATTTGTCAGTAGTCGCATAATAACTTTCGGTTTTTATACAACCGCAAAATTTTTGCGGCCGTATAATTGTATATTGATATCGTTGTCGTTATTGGTCGCCCGAAGGCATTTAGTTTCCAGACAATAACTTAAGTATAAGTGTATGGATCTATATGAAATTGTGCCAGAAGGTTCCATACCACAAAAGGATGGTTGAGTTTGATTTTGGAAGTTATGGCCTAAACCATTAAGGAAATAGGGAGCAAAAGGGGACAAAAAAGAAGTATTTTCTTGTTTCCCCGACAATAACTTGAGTATAAGTCTATGGATCTCTATGAAATTGTACCACAAGGTTCCATACAAAAAAAGGAAGATAGGGATTGATTTTGAGGGTTATGGCTCAAACCTTAAGGAATTATAGGTCAAAAAGTGTAAAAAAAAACTCTAGTTTTCTAATGCATTGCATAAATTGCTTATTTCTTGACCAATTTCAATGGGGTTAAATTCAAAGTTTTGAATTCTTGGGGTTCTTTAATATGCTGATTCTAACCGTGTATTAAGATTTTGAAGACGGACAGGGCAACCCATTCTTTTCTTTTGATGGGGACAACACTTATTAAGAACAAATAAAAAATAAAAGAAATAATCTATCGCTTTCAAATCCTCAATCAAACAAAATAACTATGATTTTATATGGAAAGAGCAAAAAACAATCGTAGAATTGAAAAAGAAGTCTTTCTTGTTCAGAATAAGATGAATAAAACAGAACAACAAATATTTATTGCCCTGCAACCACTCCCTCCTTGAAAACAAATATTTATTGCCCTGCAACTCCTCCCTCCCTGAAAAAACAGTGTTCAGTGAAATTGTTACAGTTTCGGAATAATTAACCTTCAAGAGGTCATCAATTCTAAAACGTTACTGCAAGGAAACCAATCAATTGCTTGGAAAATAGTCGATTTATTTGTGTAGCGAAGGTCGTAAAGAATTTGCGTGCATCGTAAAGTACTAGTATTCGATATTTTGAAATAACTTGCTTGATAGAAAAAAATATAAATACACATACTGATATATGTATCTGTCTATGCATATATAGAGCTTGCTGTACATTTGTCCGCAGTACAAATGTTTGTTTAATTTAGATAACAACTTCGAATGGATCCTAATATAATGAGATCCTTAATTACAGGACATATCTCAATGAAATACTTTGTGTGCATCAGTGTGCCCATGGCCATTTTGCTTCAGTGCATAGGGAAAATTACAGGTAAGAAAAAAACTTTCTGAATATAATTCTAATTCGACAGTTTATTTTCATTTTGTATTTAAAATTTAGATTGCTGTGAACATACAGAAATGCTATGAAATAGCACACAGCCCACCATGCAGGATCAATAAATTTAATCATAAAGGAAATGTTGAATTATGATCTGACCAATTTCGTCTGTGTTTGCTGCATTTTTCTGCTTCATATTGCTGCTAGTTTTGTTTTCTTCTGTTATCACACCTTAGCTGACACATCTTATACAGGTACTACCATATATCACGTTTACGTTAAAAAGAATAATAGGACAAACCCAGGGTTCATTTGTCGCAAGGTTTCTTTAGGAATTATTTGCAGAAGGAAATGGTAAACAATTCCCATTGCCGTAATTACGCAAAAAATCTTACGAGAAAAAAATACTCATGAACATTTTAGTATTACTTACGATTAGTTGTATAAAGACCCATTAATTGTAATTTGAATGAATGAATTAATGTGAATGAATGAATGAATGAATGAATGAAAAAGAATGAATGAATGAATGAATGAATGAATGAATGAATGTGTAGTTATAAAGACCCATTAATTGTTATTTGAATGAATGAATGAATGAGTGAATGTGTAGTTGTACAAAGACCCATTAATTGTAATTTGAATGAATGAATGAATGAATGAATGAATGAAACAATCAATCAATCAATCAATCAATCAATCAATCAATCAATCAATCAATCAATCAATCAATCAATCAATCAATCAATCAATCAATCAATCAATAAATCAATCAATATAGAGTCGACATAGTATACAAAACAAGGACATAACATAAGCCCTATTGAACTTTAACCGATATATGATGGGACAAACATGGTAAATGGAGAGGGCGGGAAGAATAATGAATAAAAACATAAAAAGTGAACATTTAAGTACGCTAGAGATTTGATAGTAAATACTTTGCATGTTATCCTAATCTTTTTAAAGAATCTTATATGACAAAAAGTTCTTAGAATCTATGAAAATGCGGGTTATTAAGTCGTATTGGAATCCGGTCCAATTTAAAGTATTTTTTTTATTTTCATAACTGTTTATCGAATGGTTTATTATGTTATTTTTTTGTTGTTGCTTAATGAATAATACATTTTATCTTACCTCCTATACACTTCTAGGAATATCATTGGTTAAAAGCAAACACGTGGGAAGTCACTTTTGATAACTTCAAGAAACTGCAACATACGACTTTTTGACGACCAGTTTAAAATCAATGTCAATAATTTTTGTAGGAGTGCACCAATTTTAAGATGTGTAGTGTGCAATGATATCTGATTATAATCGACATATTCCGTAACTGAATGATATAGAGTCCATGGTTGATTACGTTATCAGTAACTTTCCTCAAGTTATCTTTTTGCTTTTGTAGCTTTGGATTACTTATGTTACATTGGATACCACCACTGTAGTGGTTCACAATGGTGTTGTCCTAATGGCTATGTATGTACTGGTACCCAATTGTGTCTTACAGTAGGGTAAGTGTTTCCTTGATGGCTATGTATGTACTGGTACTCAATAATGTCTTACAGTAGGGTAAGTGTCTTCTTGACAACTATGTATGTACTGGTACTCAATTGTGTCTTTCAGTAGGGTAAGTGTCTCCTTGACGGCTATGTATGTACTGGTACTCAATTGTGTCTTACAGTAGGGTAAGTATCTCCTTGACGGCTATGTATGTACCGGTACTCAATTATGTCTTACAGTAGGGTAAGTGTCTTCTTGACGGCTATGTATGTACTGGTACTCAATTGTGTCTAACTGTAGGGTAAGTGTCTCCTTGACGGCTAAGTATGTACTGGTACTCAATTGTGTCTAACAGTAGTTTAATGTGTCTCCTTGACGGCTAAGTATGTAATGGTACTCAATTGTGTCTTACAGTAGGGTAAGTGTCTCCTTGACGGCTATGTATGTACTGGTACTCATTTGTGTCTTACAGTAGGGTAAGTGTCTCCTTGACGGCTATGTATGTACTGGTACTCAATTGTGTCTTACAGTAAGGTAAGTGTCTCCTTGACGGCTATGTATGTACTGGTACTCATTTGTGTCTTACAGTAGGGTAAGTGTCTCCTTGACGGCTATGTATGTACTGGTACTCAATTGTGTCTAACAGTAGGGTAAGTGTCTCCTTGACGGCTATGTATGTACTGGTACTCAATTGTGTCTAACTGTAGGGTAAGTGTCACTTTGAAGGCTATATTGTACTGGTACTCAATTGTGTCTTACTGTAGGGTAAGTGTCTCCTTGACGACTAAGTATGTACTGGTACTCAATTGTGTCTTACAGTAGTTTAATGTGTCTCCTTGACGGCTATGTATGTACTGGTACTCAATTGTGTCTTACAGTAGGGTAAGTGTTTCTTTGACGGCTATGTATGTACTGGTACTTAATTGTGTCTAACTGTAGGGTAAGTGTCTCCTTGACGGCTATGTATGTACTGGTACTCAATTGTGTCTTACAGTAGGGTAAGTGTCTCCTTGACGGCTATGTATTTACTGGTACTTAATTGAGTCTAACTGTAGGGTAAGTGTTTTTCCTTGACGGTTTATTTATGTACTGGTACTCAATTGTGTCTAACTGTAGGGTAAGTGTCTCCTTGACGGTTAAGTATGTAATGGTACTCAATTGTGTCTTACAGTAGTTTAATGTGTGTCCTTAACGGCTATGTATGTACTGGTACTCAATTGTGTCTTACAGTAGGGTAAGTGTTTCATTGACGGCTATGTATGTACTGGTACTCAATTGTGTCTTACTGTAGGGTAAGTGTCTCCTTGACGGCTATGTATGTACTGGTACTCAATTGTGTCTTACTGTAGGGTAAGTGTCTCCTTGAAGGCTAAGTATGTACTGGTACTTAATTGTGTCTAACTGTAGGGTAAGTATCTTTTTGAAGGCTATGTATGTACTAGTACTCGATTGTGTCTAACTGTATGGTAAATGTGTCCTTGACGGCTATGTATGTACTGGTACTCAATTGTGTCTAACTGTAGGGTAATTGTCTCTTTGACGGCTAAGTATGTACTGGTATTCAATTGTGTCCTACAGTAGTTTAATAAGTCTCCTTGACGGCTAAGTATGTACTGGTACTCAATTGTGTCTAACTGTAGGGTAAGTGTCACTTTGAAGGCTATGTATGTACTGGTGCGCAATTGTGTCTAACTGTAGGGTAAGTGTCTTCTTGACGGCTAAGTATGTACTGGTACTCAATTGTGTCTTACAGTAGTTTAATGTGGCTCCTTGACGGCTAAGTATGTACTGGTACTCAATTGTGTCTAACTGTAGGGTAAGTGTCTCCTTGACGGCTATAATGTATGTACTAGTACTCAATTGTGTCTAACTGTAGGGTTAGTGTCTCCTTGAAGGCTAAGTATGTACTGGTACTCAATTGTGTCTTACAGTAGTTTAATGTGTCTCCTTGATGGCTTAGTATGTACTGGTTCTCAATTGTGTCTTACAGTAGGGTAAGTGTCTCCTTGACGGCTATGTATGTACTGGTACTCAATTGTGTCTAACTGTAGGGTAAGTGTCACTTTAAAGGCTATGAATGAACTAGTACTCGATTGTGTCTTACTGTAGGGTAAATGTCACCTTGGCGGCTAAATATGTACTGGTACTCAATTGTGTCTAACTGTAGGGTAAGTGTCACTTGAAGGCTATGTATGTACTAGTACTCGATTGTGTCTTACTGTAGGATAAGTGTCACCTTGACGGCTATGTATGTACTAGTACTCGATTGTGTCTTACAGTAGGGTAAGTGTTTCCTTGACGGCTATGTATGTACTGGTACTCAATTATGTCTAACTGTAAGGTAAGTGTCACCTTGACGGATATATATATAATGGTACTCAATTGTGTCTTACTGTAGGGTAAATGTCACCTTGGCGGCTAAATATGTACTGGTACTCAATTGTGTCTAACTGTAGGGTAAGTGTCTTCTTGACGGCTATGTATGTACTAGTTCTCAATTGTGTCTTACAGTAGGGTAAGTGTCTCCTTGATGGTTATGTATGTACTAGTACTCGATTGTGTCTAAATATAGGGTAAGTGTCTCCTTGGTGGTTATGTACTAGTATGTACTGGTATTCAATTGTGTCTTACAGTAGGGTAAGTGTCACATCGACGGCTATGTGTGTACTAGTACTCAATTGTGTCTCACTGTATGGTAAGTGTCACTTTGACAGATATATATAATTATATATAATGGTACTCAATTGTGGTTTACTGTAGGGTAAGTGTCTCCTTAATGCCTATGCATGTACTTGAACTCATTTACTGTAGGGTAAGTGTCTTCTAGACTGATATGTATGTATTTGTACTCAATTGTGTCATAATGTAGAGTAAGTGTCTCTTTGACGGGCTATATGTATGTACTTGTACTGAATTATGTCTAAATGAAGGATAAGTGTCTCTTATACGGCTATGCATGAACAGGAACTTACAAATGAATCACTGTATGGTCATCGTCGTATCTAGGCTTTTAACTAGCATTCAGTAACTGCGAGTACTCTCAAATCGTACTTTCGTGTTAATTTGACCTGTTGATACAATTTGTGTTGTATATATGCAAAAGAAAAAGGTCAAACAAAGTGTCAGCTGTAAATGTGATGACTTTGAAGCTTATACGGTACTATCATGAAGAGCTTTGTTTTACCTATGATTTAAGCTTTAAAAATAGATCCTTTAATGAACAAATGGTGAACGTTTTGATATCTTAAAAGAAAATTTAGATTAAGGCCATATTTTGCCAAAAGTGAACCTTGCCCTTTGTGTTTTGATGTGTGGTATTCATCTCAGTATACAAAATGCTTCAGATTTTTTTCAATAAATAATTGCGAAAACCTTAAACGATAATACATTTGATTTCATGTTAGATTTAGCATCATAATGCATGCAGGCATGATTTATAGCTGACACTTTGTTTGACCATTTTCTCGATCAATGGCAATGTGGGTCAATAGATATATCGATCACTTATTTATGATTTCAGAGCCATTATTGGAATTGTGATAGGCGTACTGTTTGGTGTGGGAATTGTTATAGCAATTATCGTAATATGTTGTCGTAGAGGTTTGTTAATCACCATTATTTTTCTAATATGTTCATATATATAATTGCGATGTGTGTGTTCATATGCGACTCTCGATTGAATATGTATATCACAGGCACTTGTTTTCAGAGACAAGGGCTTGTGGTGTGTATCTATTCGTCAGTATCATCTAAAACACGACCCAGGAGCCTGTTGTTCAGCGGTTGTCGTTTGTTGGTGTGGTTTATAAGTGTTTCTCGTTTCTCGTTTTTTATATAGATTAGACCGTTGTTTTTCCTGTTTGAATTGTTTTACACTAGTCATTTTTAGGCCCTTTATAGCTTGCTGTTCGGTGTGAGCCAAGGCTCCGTGTTGAAGGCCATACTTTGACCTATAATTGTTAACTGTTTATACATTGTGACTTGGATGGAGAGTTGTCTCATTGGCACTCATACCACATCTTCTTATTTATATGATCTATATACACACTGTATATACACAAAATATATAGTCTAATTAAAAATAAAAGATTTGTGAAACGATATTGAAAAATTCATACGAATCAGATAAAATATTATAGTACTGAAAGACATTTATATTCGTATATGTGTGCGTGCGTGCGTGCGTGCGTGTGTGTGTGTGTTTGTATATATACGTTTTGAAAAAAGACATGTGACAAATTAAAATGGATGATTTCCACAAATAGATAACCTTTTATGTGTCATATTAAACCGTTTTCAACAAAAAATATTATATTGTTGATCTTAAGTTTGCTTTATACTCTTGCTAATTATAATGAAAGAACAGAGTTCCAATGTCCCCCGCAGTAAAAATATTTTATCTATCCAAGGGCAATAGATAAAAAAAACTTATTCGTTTGTTCTTTAAAACTTTTTACAAATATCTTATAGAAATGAAGACTTGAGAACAAATACAATGCAGTTTCCAATATAATCAATATTTCAAAGGGCATAACTCATTAAAAAATATTTGATCGGCACTGATTTTCGAACTTATCCTAGACATTGCTGATATTAACCTATGATATATAAGTTTCATTAAAATTTGACAAGAATTGCACACATGAGAATGCTAACAATTAAATTTTCCATATGATTAATATTTCTAAGGGGCATAACTCTTTTTTTTTAAATAATTGCTCGGCACTTATTTTCGAACTTGTCCGACACATTGCTGATATAAAAACTATGATATAAGTTTTATAAAAATCTGGCAAGTCATGTGAGAGCGCTAACATGACCGCACGCACGGACGCCCGGTATTTCAATGTCCCCCGCAAAGCGTCGCGCGGGGGACGATGACGGGAAAGTTCTAACCAATAGCATGTATAAATATACTAGTTTTTCGTTTGCTGTTTTGTACAAAAATCAGGTCGTTGGTATGTCGTTTCAATGGTTTGACATTTTGCCATGTCGGGGCCATTTATTATCTTTATGTGGTGTGGGTGTTGCTCATTATTGAAGGCCGTACTATAGTTGCCTACATCTATGTTGTTTGGTCTTGGTGGATTGCTGTCTCATTGGAAATCATACCACATCTCCTTATTTTATATTGTCTCATTGAAATGAATGAAGGATTTTTTTTTGTGTCGCTAAAGTGTTTATAAGAATTTTTATAAAGATTTTTTTTTAGATATAACACACATGTGAAAAAATGAATTCATTCTATTTTCATTTTCATTGTTCGGTTAAACTAGAGAAGCTCAAAAGTGATTTTTAGGTCGAAATGAATTTAGTATAACTAAAAATGTGGTAATTCTAAAGACAAACCTGCTAGTTTGTTGCAAAGAGTGATGTGTTGTGAGGTGCTTAAACAGAACTAGCCATTATTGTAGCATTCAAGTTTTGAAGATACGTCTTAAGTCCATAGAAACAGTATGATTTAGTATCTTTTCATTTAAAAAATAAATTGAAATATTAAAACACTAGTATATGATAGCTTCTGCGGTATATGTGTATATTTTCTACCGCAGGTAGATCTAGCTCTCGTGGAACTCGTCTTCAAGCACAGAGCGGTGTTGTTATAATGCCACCAGAGCAACAAGGATATCATCAGACAGGCTATTCACAGGCAGCATATCCGCAAACAGGATATCCAATGGCAGCATTTCCACCAACAGGATATCAACAAGAAAGCCTACCTCTTAAATCCTAATTATAAAAGAAGATAATTATGCTTGAAGTCAAACTGTTACACAATTGTATTGTTACATTCAATTTATTAATAGTGTAGAATAAAGACAAGACATGCAAAGCGATAAGTGCTGCTTCCAATATTTACAAACCTTCTCTATCTAAATTAATAATTTGCTAGAAACAATCAATAACTTTGGAGAAGGGATATTTAAATGTGGAATTTTTGTTTACTGATTTCTTTCTTTCCTTCTTTTAGAATGCATCATTTATCTATTTTTTATTATTCTGTAATATTATAATATATACATGTATTTATATGCAATCTTGATGAATGCAGTCAGTATTCATTTTTGTTAAATTATTACCATTTACCTATATTATGGAGTTATTTTCTTTCAGTACGACTGGTCATCAATTTTTTTGAAGAAACAACCCGGACAATACCTTTTGTTAGTCAAACACATATATTGACAGTTGTAAACAGTTCTACAGCTACTACAGATCTCAAACACATACATTGACAGTTGTAAACAGTTCTACAGCTACTATAGATCTCAAACATATACATTGACAGTTGTAAACAGTTCTACAGCTACTACTTATCTCAAACACATACATTGACAGTTGTAAACAGTTCTACAGCTACTACAGATATCAAACATATGCATTGACAGTTGTAAACATTTCTACAGCTACTACAGATCTCAAACATATACATTGATAGTTGTAAACAGTTCTACAGCTTCTACAGATCTCAAACACATACATTGACAGTTGTAAACAGTTATACAACTTCTACATATCTCAAACACATACATTGACAGTTGTAAACAGTTATACAGCTACTATAGATCTCAAACACATACATTGACAGTTGTAAACATTTCTACAGCTACTACAGATCTCAAACACATACATTGACAGTTGTAAACAGTTCTACAGCTACAACAGATCTCAAACACATACATTGACAGTTGTAAACAGTTCTACAGCTACTACAGATCTCAAACACGCACATTGACAGTTGCAAACAGTTCTACAGCTACTACAGATCTCAAACACGTACATTGACAGTTGTAAACAGTTCTACAGCTACTACAGATCTCAAACACGCACATTGACAGTTGTAAACAGTTCTACAGCTACTACAGATCTCAAACACGTACATTGACAGTTGTAAACAGTTCTACAGCTACTACAGATCTCAAACACATACATTGACAGTTGTAAACAGTTCTACAACTACAGATCTCAAACACATACATTGACAGTTGTAAACAGTTCTACAGCTACTACAGATCTCAAACACATACATCGACAGTTGTAAACAGTTCTACATCTACTACAGATCTAAAACACATACATTGACAGTTGTAAACAGTTCTACAGCTACTACAGATCTCAAACACGCACATTGACAGTTGTAAACAGTTCTACAGCTACTACAGATCTCAAACACGTACATTGACAGTTGTAAACAGTTCTACAGCTACTACAGATCTCAAACACATGCATTGACAGTTGAAAACAGTTCTACAGCTACTACAGATCTCAAACACATACATTGACAGTTGTAAACAGTTCTACAACTACAGATCTCAAACACATACATTGACAGTTGTAAACAGTTCTACAGCTACTACAGATCTCAAACACATACATTGACAGTTGTAAACAGTTCTACATCTACTACAGATCTAAAACACATACATTGACAGTTGTAAACAGTTCTACAGCTACTACAGATCTCAAACACGCACATTGACAGTTGTAAACAGTTCTACAGCTACTACAGATCTCAAACACGTACATTGACAGTTGTAAACAGTTCTACAGCTACTACAGATCTCAAACACATACATTGACAGTTGAAAACAGTTCTACAGCTACTACAGATCTCAAACACATACATTGACAGTTGTAAACAGTTCTACAACTACAGATCTCAAACACATACATTGACAGTTGTAAACAGTTCTACAGCTACTACAGATCTCAAACACATACATTGACAGTTGTAAACAGTTCTACATCTACTACAGATCTAAAACACATACATTGACAGTTGTAAACAGTTCTACAGCTACTACAGATCTACTACAGATCTCAAACACATACATTGACAGTTATAAACAGTTCTACAGCTACTACAGATCTCAAATTATATCTTTTGACAACTTTTTTACATATTTTTTTCTCGTTCAGATTTTCATGCCGCCATACAAAAAGGATTGGTAACGCCCATAACAATTTTCCATCTTTAACATGTTTTAGGCAGAAACAATCCTTTCCTTTTCTTATATCTTTAACCTTTACTGTTTAGTCTGTTTTTTGTAATTTTCTTTTGGCGTGGCTCGGTATTGATACATCACGCCAGTGTGTTATTGTGATATGGTCTTTTTTTGTTTTCTTATCTTTCATTTTTGTTTATGTGCTTTGTCTATAGAATGTATATGATCCGGACCATATGAGTATTTGGACATACGTGTATGGTAACAACCATATGCGTATTATCATATGGTCTGACCATAGGTCTGACCATATTAGTATATACTCGTTTGGTTATTAACGTGTCGGACCATATGAGTATTTAGACCATAAAAGTATTTTTCGATTAAATTGTTACTTCCTTTTAATTTCTCCAAACCCAAATCGGCACAAGTTACTGACTGGAGTCCTTTATCTTTGACATGTTGTTTGAATCTTGGTGTATCTGTTGTCTATCATTCCCTTTATAAGTCAATTTATAGCGCCTTTATCCTGTCGACTTTTTCGTGAAACCACCGGTGTGGTTTTTTTTAATTTTTCTATTGTTTTAACGCTAGATATATGGTTGCCCTCATGACATAGTTGACACAACGAATTTCTTCGATAATGGATTAGCATGGCGGGTAATGCATATAATGCTGTCGACAACCTGGTCCTGCTCCGATTGGAGTTCATGTGATTCCCTCAGATTTTGTTATCTTAAAACAAAAACCACAGTTGCATCGTAGTTGTCAATCGTAGATCTTAGTTTTCTGTTGTTACATGAAACGAAAGACAACCCAAATTTCAAATTAGCATAATATTCATTATTTTGTATTTAATAATACACAACTGAGGATGAAGAGGATAAGAGACTTACACAACTAAAAAATATACATGATTGATATATTAGATGTGATTGGCGTTGAACTAGCTTTTTAAGTTATTTTCATAGCCTTGTGTTGACTCGATGAGATAAGCTATTTTCATTTGATTTTAATGTTTTGCTGTTACACCACTGCTCCACATTGAGGGTTGAACGATCAAAAGCATGTTAAACCCTTCCACATATGTGTACCAGTCCCAGTTTAGGGGAGGGTGGATCGATCAAAAGCATGTTAAACCCCGCCACATATGTGTACCAGTCCCAGTTTAGGGGAGGGTTGATCGATCACAAGCAGGTAAACCTAGTCACACATGTGTATCAGTCCCAGTTTAGGGGAGGGTTGATCGATCACGAGCATGCTAACCTAGCCAAATATGTTTACCAGTCCCATTTTAGGGGAGGGTTGATCGATCAAAAGCATGTTAAACCCCGCCACATATGTGTACCAGTCCCAGTTTAGGGGAGGGCTGATCGATCACAAGCATGTTAAACCCCGCCACACATGTGTACCAGTCCTAGTTTATGGGAGGGTTGATCGATCACAAGCATGTTAAATCCCGCCACATATGTGTACCAGTCCCAGTTTAGGGGAGGGTTGATCGATCACAAGCAGGTTAAACCATATCACATATATGTGTCTTTCACTAGTTAGGATGAGGGTTTAAACCCCGCCACATATTTGTGTCTGTCCCAGGTTAGGGGTGGAGTTTCGCAATCACAAACATGTTAAACCCCGCCACATATGTGTACCTGTCCGAGGTTAGGGAGAGGGTTGAGCGATCACAAGCTTGTTAAACTCAGCCACATATTTGTGTCTGTCCCAGGTTAGGGGTGGAGTTTAGCGATCACAAACATGTTAAACCCCGCCACATATGTGTACCTCTCCCAGGTAAAGGAGAGGGTTGAGCGATCACAAGCATGTTAAACTCAGCCAAATATGTGAGTCTGTCCCAGGTTAGGGGGAGGGTTGAGCATAGGCGGATCCAGGGGGGGGAGGCCCTGGGGGGCCCGAAACCCCCCCTTTGGTGGGAAAAATTTGGTTGATTATATAGGGAATCACTGAAGCATGACTGGAGCGGGCCCCCCCTTAGGTCATCCAGCGGGTCCCCCCTTATGAAAAGTTCTGGATCCGCTACTGGGGTTGATCGATCACAAGCATGTTAAACCCTGCCACATATGTGTACCTTTCCCAGGTTAGGGGGAGTTTTGAGCGATCACAGGTATGTTAAACCCCGCCAATTTTAGCATGTTAAACCATGTCACATATATGTGTCTTTCACTAGTTAGGATGAGGGTTTGGCAATCAGAAGCATGTTAAACCCCGCCAGATATTTGTGTCTGTCCCAGTTTAGGGGTGGAGTGTAGCGATCGCAAACATGTTAAACCCCGCCACAAATGTGTACCTGTCCCAGGTTAGGGAAAGGGTTGAGCGATCACAAGCATCTTAAACTCAGCCACATATTTGTGCCACAATTTTGTGTCTGTCCCAGGTTAGGGTTGGCGTTAAGCGATCACAAACATGTTAAACACCGCCACATATGTGTACCTGTCCCAGGTTAGGGAGAGGGTTGAGCAATCACAAGCATGTTAAACTCAGCCACATATGTGAGTCTGTCCCAGGTTAGTGGGGGAGAGGGGGGGTTTAGCGATCACAAGCATGTTAAACCCCGCCACATATGTGTACCTGTCCAAGGTTAGGGGGAGTTTTGAGCGATCACAGGTATGTTAAACCCCGCCACATATGTGTGTCTGTCCCAGGTTAGGGGAGGGTTAAACAATCACAAGCATTTCTTCGATAATGAATTAGCATGGCGGGTAATGCATATAATGCTGTCGACAACCTGGTCCTGCTCCGATTGGAGTTCATGTGATTCCCTCAGATTTTGTTATCTTAAAACAAAAACAACAGTTGCATCGTAGTTGTCAATCGTAGATCTAAGTTTTCTTTTGTTACATGAAAAGAAAGACAACCAGATTTTCAAATCAGCACAATATACATTATTTTGTATTTGATAATACACAACTGATGATGAAGAGGATAAGAGACTTACACAACTAAAACCCCGCCACATATGTGTGACTGTCCATGGTTAGGGGAGGGTTGAGCAATCACAAGCATGTTAAACCCCGCCACCTGTGTACCAGTCCCAGTTTAGGGGAGGGTTGATCAATCACAAGCATGTTAAACCATGTCACATATATGTGTCTTTCATTATTTAGGATGA